GGGGTGGTGGTGTGTAGGAGTGTAGTGGTTGGCCTGGAGGGTGAGGGGATGTGTGGATGAGTGACCCCCCACCCCGGGCCGGGGGACTGACGATGTCTTTTGTGATGGGGCCGCTCGTTGTGAGGACGCGGTTGCCCCGATACCAGGCCGGCTCCGGCTCCGGCTCCGTATTGTGCCTGTTTGCCCCGGTCAGGTCACGTTTGGTCGATGTTGAAATCTCCATTTGTCTTTTTCCCGAGACGGGCCGCAGTCCCAGTCTTTGCCCGGGAGATTTAATCACTTTGCTACGCTTCGTTGTCCAATGGCTTCTGCCCGCTCAGTCGTTCCCAGCAGACCAGGGTTTAAAACAACCCGTCGCATCAGAGCGCGACCAGGAGTCGGTAACAGCTTTTATTCATCGTATTATCGACTAAATATTAGCTTTATATATATAAGTTCACATTGACAAACAGCGAGTACCATGTGAATGGGGAATAGGACAGCCTCCAATCTCGGCTCCATCCTCCCACCTTAAATTGTCTGTCAGGCTATAACGATGGAGAAGAGTAACAACCGACGACTTTTTTCAAGGCGGTTCTGAACGAAATGCAATAACGAGGACGCTGTAGAATCCGAAATTATGTATCGTACCTGCCAAAACGAGGTTATTTTGTTTGAAGGGAGAGAAACACCTGTTGCCCAACAGCGTCACTTGTAGCTGAAATTCCTGGCCATTCGCAAAGATCGTTCTAAGTTTGCGTTGTCACAAATCCGTAAAAATGAGTCTGATTCTTTTGAACGAATATTTTTTTTCGAAGAGGAAGTTTAGAACTGGAAGCCTTGCCTTTAAAACGGGTGAGCAAGGATTTCAGTATTCAATACAGGGACTTGAGTTTTATTAAGCAGTCTTTCTCCAATTGTTTCCAGTTTTCACTATTACATGTCTTTGCGAAGTCTCTTGTTGTAGTGACTACAGTCTGGAGACTTTGGTTATGTCTGTCAGTATTGTATTTGCAATAATTATGCAAAAAAACAAACATTGATCCATTAGCAATTGCTTCAACATATTTTCAAAATGATTAACGTTTCTTTGGGGAGTAGCATTTATTTGCACTGGCAGTACTTTGCAACAAAAGGAGCAGTAACAGGAACATAATTCTAAGAAGTCCTCAACAATCAGGAATAATATTTCAAGTTTTTACATGTTTCGATGTAGCACCTTCACAAGGTTATTGACCGTATATGCGGGAATTTCTCTAAATTTGAAAACATGAATTCTTTGCTACAATATCATTTTACAATGGCTATTTGTACCTAACCAGATGACCATACTTGCTGTGCAAACACGGACTGTCAGTATTGATAGGTGATTGAATTTTTAGACCATGGACACTGTTGAACATTCTATTGCTCCTCCTCCTTAGGCAGCCCCTTGGGATTGAGAATGACTTGCTTCCACTATGGTTGAGTTGGTTTTGAGATGTCCAAGAAGCCCATTTACAATTTGATATACAGACTCTGCCGTGTACATAGCAAATAATGCTTGGAGGGTCAGTTAGATAAGTTGATGAAAGGTTTGTGTGCCTGAGCCATTGCCTTGATTTCATGTGTGTTCCCAGCAAAGTCTCTTGATGTTTTTAGTGTCTTGCTAAATAGACCTTTAACAAGACTATAGGCTTACGAGCAGAAGTAAGCCATTCAGCCCACCAAGTCTCCTCTGCCATTCAGTGAGATCTTGACTGATCTGATAACCCTCCAGTCTACTTCCCTGCCTTTTTCCCCATACCCGTTGATTCCTTTACTGATTAAAAATCTGTATATCTCTGCCTTGAATATACTTAACAACCCAGCCTTGACAGCCATCTGCACTAAAGATGTACACAGATTGACCATTTTCTTGAGAAAATATATCTTTCTCATCTCTATCTCAAATGGGTTACTCCTTACACCGAGATTACGCCATCTGGTCATGTACTGTCCCATGAGAGGGAACCAACCTCTCTGTATCTTCTCTGTCAAGCCCCCTAAGAATCAATAATGTTTCCTAAATCCCAGAGTGTGCAAGCCCAATTTACTCAACCTCTTCTCATAAGACAGTCCTTCCATACCTGGGATTAACCTAGTGAAAGCAAAAAGTGCTGGAAATCAGAGCAGGTCAGAGAGCAAGCTAATGTTTGAGTCTAGAATACTCTTCAGGCTTTGTTTTCAGTACAGATTCCAGCCTCTCCAGTAATTGCTCCAACATTAACCTAGTGAACCTTCTCTGGACTGCTTCCAATGTCACTATATCTTTCTTTGGATAAGAAGAACAGAACTGTTCACGGCGGTGATCTGATCAGTACCTTGTACAGTTTTAGAAAGATTTCCCTATTTTTATACTTTGTTCCATTTTTAAACAAAGGCTAACATTCCATTTGTCTTTCCAATGCCTGCTGAATCAGTGATTGGTGATTTCAGAGGACTTGGATAGTGTTGTGCAGCAGAGGGATCTAGGGGTTCAGATACATAATTCTTTGAAGTTTGCATCACAAAGAGACAGGGTGGTCAAAAAATCATTTAGCATACTTGTCTTTACCGCTCAGTCGCATAAGT